ATACATACACATATACATACAGACACACACACACACATATATATATATAAACATAAATATAAATACAAATATATATACATAATTAAATGTATATATATACGTATGCACACACACACACGATTACACACCCCTGTCTGCACACACTCGAGAGACAAACTGTAACTGATGGATAGCTCGTAGTTATTATACCAAAAGTTAGATACATTAAGCAGCCACATAAGTCCACTAGACCTTCCGAACACGCTGCATAAGCTTTGCAGAAGTACTCTCCCTGTAGCCAAGCGCCCAAAGCACATGCGAGCGAGGTCCAGGCGATTTGCCGGCATTTGGGACACCGATGATTCCGACCTTACCATCAACATAGCTTTAAACCGTTATCTGTCATTCCTCTGCAATGTGTTTGAGGTAGAGCTTGCAGGGTTTAGGGTATGCATGTTTGGGAATGGTTGGATATGGCTGTTTATGCAGACTGCAAGAGAGACCAGCGCTTGTATGGCTGCTGTGCTTAAGCTTAAACCTTTCAAATCACCCGTTCACCTGAAACTCCAAGCCTCAGCAAACCTGAGGCTGCTGTGTCTTGTGGAGGTAGGTTTCCAGCTTGAAGGAGCGGGGTTTCGGCATAGGATTTACTGCAGCTGACTGATGGACAAATCAAGTAAACTGCTGGGTGTGATTCCGGGCGCCAGAGTCATAAAGCCCTTGGGCGAACAAACGGTGACATCTCTGGTAATAGTAGAGACCCCACCCCTAAACCCTAAACCTAAACCCTAGCCCGCGGCAGGGAGGGGCCTCACCCTCTCAAAACCCTGAATTCAGAAGCCTGAGGGCCCCAGGTCCGAAACTCTCTTGAACAAGGGTTTAGGGTTTTGGGTTTAGGGTTTTTGGGTTTAGGGTTAATGGTCTCTTAAATTAAACAAGTGTTGATGACTTCCTGAACGAAGCGTTGATGAGGCATACTCTAGGCTGAAAGCTAGCCCCGGCCCTGAATTATCTGAAGCCCCACGCTCCAGAAGTGAGGTCTCGATCCCAAAGGGTCCAAGTACCATCACCAGTAGGTACTTAGTAGGTATTTGGGCCCCCAAAGTATATACTATACTATTACTTGGACCCTCTGGAGGTCCCTGTCATGAAAATTTCTCCGCTTAAATTGCAGGCTTCAGGTTAATTACAGGCGCCCCAAGAGCTGAAAGCTATTCCATTGACTGCGTACCAGATACTCTTTCATGGCATACCTAAGGTTAGGGTATTTTTTAACCGGACCTTTTTCCACTGCCGGTTAGGGTTTAGGGTTTAGGGTTTAGGGCTAGCAGTATGCCAAAATCTTGCCGAAAGCGTGCAGATCTTGCTTATCTTCGCCGTGAGCAAGGAAACCTAGAGCCCTATAACTCTGGGTTTAGGGCTTAGGGGATTTGGGGTTTAGGGTTTAGCATTTACTAAACTTACAGGATTCATGCGTGTTTTCTTCAATGTTTGCGGCACCGGCAGAAGCTCGAAATCCCGACATTTGGGAAACAATCGTAACAACCCTGAACCCGAAACCCTAAACCCTATAAAGCCTAAACCCTAAACCCGGAACGCGAAACCTCTAAACACTAAAACCTAAACCCTGAACCCAAAACCCCTAAACCCTAACGAAGCCGTAGCAAGCCCGCGGGTTGGGCTCCCGACATCTGCAATGATCTTCAGCTCCAACTCAAGCCATCGACCCCTTCCTGTGAAATAGGGGTTTAGGGCTTATAGGGTTGAGGGCCGTTTAGGGTTTAGGGTTTCTTAAACAGTTGAAGGGCTCAGGGCAGAAGTGCATTGGGAGGTACCAGATTTAGATAGAATGGCGAAACTTTGAAGTCATCCGAGACATGAGAGCGTGAAATGATAAATTCTGTCAGCGTGCTTGTGCTGCCTGGGACTGACTTGCACACGAACGCATGCTCAGAACATCGGACTGCACGAAAACGAAAGCAGGGACAGGCTGTGGAGGGGAGCTTGCCGGCCGGAGACAGTCTTGAGGCCTTCGGTAACATAGGCAATGAGCTGCCGCGATGCATTATGCAGCCAGCTGGCTGATCACCTATATACACTTACCTGGAGAGAAGCTGCAACCCCAAACCTCAAGCCTGACTCCTGATGTTAAGCACGGTCTGCTTTTCCACGTAGCAAATGCACGAAAAGAACGTGCGAAGCTCACATACCTAGGATTGCACGACTCTGGAATTCAGGGAGAGATGTGATAGGATCCAAGCTTGCCTGATTGTTTGTGGAGTTAGGGGACCGCGCTGCGGACAGTTGCAGAGCGAGTGCTAACACTACACAAACGGATAAAAGCTGTGCCAGGGCGGATCCTACACTGGGAAGGCGATGCCACCTTAAATACTGCAGTCTTTGCAGTTGGAGACCGGCACTACGAAGGACTCGCTCTTAGCGGTCTTAGCGCTTTCGCTTCTGGGACTGCTCGATCCGCTCTCTCTCCTTCTCTTGCTGCTTGCGCCAGGCCACCGCCTGCTTCCAGGCCTTCTCCACCTCCTTCGACGAGAAGTCCTTCGGGCGGAACCTCATGTTCCTCTGCTTGCCGGAAACATGGCAAGTTGCATGCCAGGCATGCTCGCCACGGTTCCACTTGATCCCTAGCTGTGGCCCCAGCGGCTCGAAGTTGGGGAGCTCCGAGAGCGGCTTCACCGGCACCACCTTCTCCTGCAGCCCCAACTCCCGGGCCAGCTCCCGAGCCCGGGCCTCGGCCTCCTCCTTCACCTTGAACATGCCACCGTGGACCCTCTTCTTGGTGGAGGGGTCAGTCATCCGCACCTGATAGGTTCTGGTGCTTTCGTTGTAGTGAAGGCCCCTCACCACGGAGCCATGGGCTTTCTCCGTGATGGGCTTCGGCGGCTTCAGCTTCCCCTGGCGCACGAGCTCCTCGCGGAAAGCCTTGGCCTCCTCCAGGGCGGCCTCCAACGCCTCGGCCTCGCTGAGGCCCAGCTTCATGTGCTTGGAGATGGGGAAGTAGAGCCTATGCCGTTTGCCTGATACTTGCCAGGAGACGCTCCAGCTTGCCATCGCAATCATCCAGCTGATTCCCTGGATGCCGCTCTGGCGCTCCAGGCCTCGGAAAGTCCTTGTGACGACCTGGCCTTGCTCGGCTCTGGGCTCGGCTCCGCTGGATGGCTCCGAAGACTTCGGCTCGCCAGGTTCCGGGACGGAGCCCACGGACTCGAAGATCTCGAGGCCCTGCATGGCGGAGCCCCCTCCGGTCGGCGAGAGCTTCATCATGCCGTCCTCCACGAGCATCCAGCCGTTGCCGGCCCAAGCTCGCGTGGGAAGGTCCCGCATCCAAGGCCACATCTTCATGCACTCAGCTGCTCGGTGCTGATTGCCGGTGGAGCTCCTGTGGGCCTGCAGCCTAGATGCAACAGTGGTCTCTGTCTGTCGCCCGCTGCTTGCGTCGCTGCTGTCATGGAAAAGGGCATGGTGCGGATTCTCGCGGTAAAACTCGCGCAACTCTCTGAACTGATCTTTGTCGAGGAGCTGCACGCATGCTGTTGTCTTGTCTCTTGCACATCCTTGCCACGGAGCACCTGCTAATCCGAGAAATGGGCTAGCCGGACAGCAGGGCTTCGTAGGGAGCCACGTCTTGCCAGAGGATTGAAATGCGAGGCATTTCTCGGCCCACTCTGTCATTCGCGACTCGAAGGATGGAACTGAGGCTTCCGATTTCTTCTGGCTGATGCGACGCCGTTTGGCTTCTTGGATCGGACCAGCCTGCTCAGCATGCTCCTCCTTAACACACACCTGCTCTTCTTCATGCACCAGCTCGCGCTTCACGCATGTCCTCGATTTGGCAGGCAGTGTCATGTACATCATGGGAGCACATCAAGTGTTTTAGCATTCCGGACGATACGAAACAGACCTTCAGAACATGCAACATTGTAACCTTGCTGTAATGTGCCACAACATCGTCAAACGAACTCAGTACCCACAAACCGGGTCGAACAAACCAACAGCATCGATCATAACAGTTGACCGGGGGATCTACTTCCCTAGTAAATGGTACCATGATAATTACAAGTCTTCTCCAAACCCTATGCACCGGCTATGGATCGACTAGCTATTGCTGCAGCAATTTGATCATCATGGAAGTCCGAACTTTCAGGAAAATCCGGGGATCAAGGTGTACAGTTTTGGCCTCAGTTAAGTTTGGCCGCAAAGTTTGCAGGTGTCGAGACAGGGAGAGGGCGGGGGTCACATCAGGCGGAAGAAGCTGAAATAGGTGCATGCTCTTGACACTTGACTTCACGAGCCTATGTATGGAAGCTGCCAGCTGCGCGACTGAAGGCACAAGCCAACGAACATTACAATGCGAAACCCGTTTGCCGTAAACTGTCACGAACCCTAGAACCACATACCCCTAAACCACGTAACCCCGTACCCGAAACTACAGGACCCTCTACCCCTCATGAAACCGCATCGCAGAGGTTTCACTTTCTGTCAGCTGCCGAGGCACACCCGGCATTGCCAGTCGTGGTCCTCCACAGGTGATGCACACAAGGCAAAGAAGGGATGCAACTGTGCATGCGAGTGTGCCATCTTTGGAGCCCGAGACCACTAACTGATAAGACACCAATAGGTTACGTGCTCTAGGGGTTAGGGTAAAACTACGCAAGTAAATCCCTACCTAGACCCTGAGTTGTAATACTTTGTCTTATGGGTGACCTGCTTGATTCGCGAAGATCCTATTATTGCTGTTAGTAGCCAGGGTGACCGAAAGGATACTATACTGTTTAGGGCCGTTCAGAAGGGTCGAGGTAGATCCTGATGCCTGAGCAAGAAATATGTGCCGACGCCTCGGGGTTCCAAACTATAACATGGATACCAGCATTTTGTCGCAACTAGGTCATTACTGTGGACTTGGCAGCAAGAAGGTTGCGCATTCCACAAACAGATTAACAACGGATGAGAACAGCAATAAGCATGATCGGATTTCTATAGTACCACGAACAGCAATAAGCATGATCGGATTTCTGTAGTACCACAAATGTATCAAAGGGCCCAAAGTGAGGATAATGCAACAGAAGTATGTGATTTAGTAACCATGAATTTTGGTAGCTGATTAGCGTAGAGGCGTAGAGATGGACACAGTACCAGCAGCCCTATTCCAGGGACATTGTTGATACACAGATACTGCAACATCTTCATGATGGGCTGCCGGCGCTGCCCAAAAGTGTGTTGCGACCAGCCAAACTGCATCCGAAGTCCATGCTCTTCCAGCGAAAAATGCCCTGGATGCAAAGACGTCCAAACCCCGAGTAAAGCTCCTCTTGCTTCATCTCATGCTTGGTCTCAGCCTTGACCTTCCAAGCAAGACGGTGTGTGCGACGCTAACGATGTGTCCCGTGGTTCTACAACCCCACACACCGGAACTGATGTCACAAAGGATGATAGGCGACTCCCGCATCCCTGGCGTTTGATCTTTAAGCCGGGTTCGAAACAGCAAGCACTAGGACAACCCCAGGGACTCAACAAAAAAATGAAGGGTGCTGCATCCCGATTGCTACTGTGCCATGTGGTTCTCAAGCCATGTTTGCTAGCCGACTTCGGCAACCTAGTCAGCCTTAGTCAGTGACTCACCATAATATCCCATGCCAAACTCTTACCGGTCTGCAAAACATGATCAGTCGGCAGCTCGCAGATTTCATTCGGAAACGAAAGCCAGCCAGCACCGGAGAAACCCTAAACCCTTTAAACCCTAAACCCCAAACACCAAACCCTAAACCCCCAAACCCTAGACTCAATAAGCCCTAAACCCTAAACCCTAAACCGTCGATGCGCAGATGCAGGGTCTGAAGGTCTCACCGGCGGTCTGTATGCACATTCAGATACTGGACTTGATATCATCTACTCACCAACAGAATCCAAATAGAGTAAGAAAAGAAGATATAAATACAGATCGTATATAAACGGCGACACAGAGAGAGAGAGAGAGAAACAAACAAACAACAAGTACTTGTTGCTGCGGTGCTTGATGCAGTACTTGTGTGATCATTTGCTTCAAACAGGCCGCTGACATGATGCGGAGGTTTTTCGTTTTCCAACCGTTATCAACCGATCAATCCTGACGCCCTGCAGACGGCTCTGCTGCAACTTCCCGTGACTGCCTTCGTGCGCAGCCTGCGACGACACCGGACGACCTGCAGCGCTGGGGTTCCGGGGCTTTGTGGGTTTCCACTGCAGGGGTTTATGAGGTTTAGGGCTTTACGGGTTTCGGGGTTTAGTGTTTCCGTGGCCAAAAATATGGACGAAAGAGACAAGTGTGCAGAAGCCGGTCAACGCAGGCTACACATTGTGTTTTTTAGCTGTTCGGTGTACACTGCTCCCAAAGGGCCAACACCTCTCCCCCAAGCCTGCAATCCTACCAGGACGAAACAGCGTTGCGGAGGACTGCAGGTGAGGAGGCCGAAACATAGGAAGACGTATGGATTGGATTGTGTTTGGAATTTTCCGGTGTGACTAGAGCTCTACGCGCAACTTCCGTGCCTGCCATACCTGCAGGGAATGATTCTAAGCAACCTGACTTTCATGGTTGCTGCAAATGCTCTGTGTGCATCCGCCGCCCCATCTCCGATCTGAGGCTTCATTTCAGGGCGAACCTCCTCCTTCACCTCCTGCTTCATGTCCTTCAAGCGCGTGTCTTGCGAATATTATCTGCTGGGCAAACCACTACATAACCCACACGCTTCTCATGAACGTGCTCGTAGTTCCTTGTCCTGTCTCTCCCTTTGTCTGCTTGCCTCGGGATGATACGGTACTGTCATTATTGGAGATGCTGTCTTCATCATGGACATGTATACATGAAGACGCATCTGCAACAGCAGATGCTACTGTATGTAGAACATGTGTGCTACTGCCCCGCAACGAAATTCATCGTTAGTGTCATCGCATGATATACAGCATTACAGATAGCATGTCCTCTCGGATCGAGGGGTGCTATACCATGCTGGATACGTCTAGATAACTCGCTCGACAGCGCGATATGACTCAGAAGTGTTGGCAAGCGTCTAATCGAGGGGCCTTAATAATCAGAACAGGGTTTGGAGGGTTTATTATACTCTAAGTATAATAAGGAACCCTCAAATAATATAGGTAAGTATTAACCCTAAACCCTAAACCCTATATTATTGGCAAGCGTCTAGACTCGAAGCCGCACGGAATGCTTCCCGGCCAATCGAGGTATAGGGCCCAGGAACCCCGAAGCTGGAATCTGAACCGCAACACAGATGAACAATGCAAGGCCGGGCTAAAGGGCTTAGGGTTTAGGGCTATAGGGTCTATAGGGTTTAGGGTTTAGGGCTGAGCATGTTGTTCAACTGTTATAGGTACGGCAATGTTTCAGGGACTCTGCCGACACGAAAAAGCAACCGTGGAAGAACAGTGACATGTACCGCTGAAGCACGGGAGCCGTAGACACAGACCTTGGCATGTTGGGTAGAATCTAGGATGCCTTGATTTTACGTGGTAGTGCTCAAGTCCCGGAAGTGTCCACCCTTCACCGCAGCCTTCTGCGGCATCTCCTCTTTGACTTCTTGCGACATGTTCTTTGACACCTCCTTTTTGATCTCTGTCTTCACGTCCATGTGTGCATCCTTCGAAACCTCCTCTTTTACCTCCTTCTTCATGTCCTGGATGGGCTGCGCTGGTGAATGCTTGTTCAAGATGTAATGCTGTTGAATTCTGGCAGGGGGGGGGAATCATCCGCACCATTCGTTGGTTCCCCTCGAGACGCCCCTGATCGTCTGTCCACCAAGCTCATGAATGTCGGCCTTGCGCTACTTCCTTGAAACACATTCAGAAAAATACAAAACCCGTCGGCATCATGAACTCACGTTTGAGGCTGCTGGTCTGAGCCCAATGCGGGGAACCCGATTGAAAGCCCGACCGATCGACTGCGAACATGAATTTAACTTCAACTCGAGGCCTCACGGTGCGGTTCCCAGCCAAGCCCTGAGCTAGTAAACCCTTTTCGGGTTTAACAGTTTAGGGTTTATAGGGACTTCGGGCAGCCCTTCTCGGGTTTCGAGTTTAGGGTTTTTTTGGTTCAAGGTTCAGGATTTAAGGTTTTTTCACTCCCGCCACCCTCGGCAGTCGCTGAAAACCAGATCGCACTTGCTGCACATTGAAGCAACTAACAGATGTTTGGGATGCCGTATGCTGGCGCTCGAGTCGCAGAAGAAGACACGAGTTCCGCCGGCCCACAACCGAAGCCTTCTGAGCGATCTCCTCTTTGACTTGCTCCCTCGTGGCCGCCTCCTCGTCTTTTACTTCTTTTTTCATGGCCTCCAGGCACGATTGCTGCTCAAAGTTTCCAAATGGGCGAACTTCAAAGCGTTCGGTCAGTGCCGAAAACCTCAACCACAAAAGTCGCGAACGCCGACATAAACCTTTGGGACCGTAATCTTGGAGATCTAACTGACCATGAGAACGGTCCTGCTGTAGACCCTAAGCTTTGGTTAGCTGAATCTGGAGTAGAACTGCTGTCCTCAGCATTGGACCGAGCCTGCAATGCTTCCCTGGTACAATGCCTAGAAACCAGAGTTACATTCAGTTTGGCTTCAAACCGCTTCTTTCTGTGCAGAGTGCGAGAATGAGAAAGAGAGAGTTGTTGAACGAAGTTCGCCGGGCAGGAAGCCTTAAGCCCTAAACCCTCAACCCTAAATCCTAGAAGCAAGCGTCAACAAGCCGATGAAGCCTAGATCTGACGGATATTCTGTATACGTCATGGGGAACCTTATGGGGGGTAATGAGAGGGGGGGAGGGGACTATATTTCATTAAATAGGCCATATTCGACCCTTGTCAGGTCCTTATTAGGGGTATCAAGCCCCCTAAACCCTAAACCTTATAAACCCTAAACGCTAAACGGTCCTTATTAGGGGTATCTCTCCTTCCTACCCCTCTGACGGTTCTTTTTGATACAGGAAAACTCCCGACCTCAAAGGATGGTCCACCTCCCAGTTTAAGCTCCTCACCCCTAAACCTAAACCGTAATCCTACTAACCCCTAAACCCTACCCATAGTCTCCATTGTAGTTCCTTTGTGGGGTTACCTTGTAGGATCCTTCATATAAAATTGGTTAAACCAAACAAAGGAACTACAATGGAGCCTATAGGCAACCCACAAATACCAACCGGCGCCTGCGTCTCCTTGACTTCCCGTTTGGTGTCGCTCGCCTTGCCAGGATCGCCTCGCTCCTGCCACGACCAGGGGCCAAAAGGGTTGAGGGTTTAGGGTTTAGGGGCCCTGAATCCTGGTTCCTAAGCCCCTGGACCCTGAACCCAAAAATCAAACGCCACTGCTAGCAACATTGACTTGAAGTTTCGGGGTTCGAAGGCCTTGGTGGATGAAGAAGACCTCTGATTTGACACGCACCCTCTCTCTTAGCTTTGTTTATTAATAGAGTAGGGCTCGGCCTCCAGAGAAAGGGGGTTGGAAAATAGGGGTCTACACTGAAAAGTCTTCGTCCAGGTTTTAAGGCCTCAGAGTTTCGGGCTTGACTTCTCCGATACTTCCAACGTTCAAGTACGGATGTAAAGAGAGCTGGGGTTCGGAATGGCAGAATTGAGGTTGAGTTGGAGGACATGGAGAAGACTACCCCGAAGCCATCTCCGAATGCATTTGAAGGCCCTCACCTGGGCGTTCGTCATGAGCTTCGTGCCTCTACACGACATTACTGTCCTTCATGACGCACAGTGATTTAGGTTCCCTAAACCCTAAACCCTAAAACCGTCGGCTGATGTTTGGAGGGTCGGGGTCACAGGTTCGAAATCGGGTTTAGCCAAGAAGCGCTAAGCCCTAAACCCTAAAGCCCTAAACCATAAAGCCCCAAGCCCTAAAACCCCAAAATGTTAAAACCCTAACATGCTAAAACCCTAAACCAATCTGCATGCAGGAACTTCATCGATCAGGGGTCTGCCTGGGCTTCTTCCTTCACTTCAGACTTCACCTCCAAAGCAGTGACTGTCTCAGGCACGGGTTCATGTGGACAGTGCAGGGTTTTGGCTTTGGGGTTTAGGGTAGCTCTGGATACACCATGCTGCGAGTATGCGTTTCTAGAAGCGGGCAATGTGGTCACACCCACAGCTTCGGAATTTATGCACTGACGCACAGGATAGCAGGACAAATGTACAAGGTACAACAAGTTCACGACTATTCTTGATGAATGGGGGAATATATGCTGGGGCTCATGCAAGGAATCACAACTGCTGCAGCCAGGTGGTGTTGCATCTTGCAGACCCAGGCAACCCTGAACTCGAAGGTACCCCGAAACATCCCGAACGACCAACACCGAGACTCCCAGAAAAAAAAAAAAAAAACTAAACGGTAGGAACCCGCAGCAAACCTTAAAAACCCCAGACGTACAAACACCAAAACTACCTGTCCATCGGCCTGGAGTTCGTCTTTGGTTCCGTCCTTCGGCCGTGCCTCGTGCGGAAGCCGGGGTGTTAATTTGAGCTGCGGAAAAACGGCTTAGGGTTTGAGACTTTGGAGTCTTGTGGCTTTGGGGTTTCAATGTCATGGTTAAATACAAACAAACCTTCTAGGATTTTGGGATTAAGGGCTGCAGGGCTTCAGAAAAGATCCATCCGAAAGAGCTTGGAAAGACTGGGGACGGAAAGTCGAAGTTGCACATGCTCGTGCTGACGCACACACAGATGATGTGACTGCTTCGGACTTACAGGCTGTTCTTGGAGCGATCTACCAAACAGAATGTTGTTACTTGTCCTTTCTGAAACGCGTGCTCTACTCAGCTGGTGTAAGACAGCAACGAAAACTTAAGTAAGAAGGATGACGGACGGCAAAGCTCAACAGCTCAGCATATCCTCTTCCCCCAAACACACACCGTTCACAAACTACTTTTGCATATTGCAGTGGTGACAAGACGTTCGTCCCCCTGCGCCTCGATGTCCTGCGCAACTTCTTGCTTCACTTTCTGAAGTTTGGCTGGCTCCTCAGGGTCAAAGGAATAGCAATGGCTCATATGGCTGCTTGTCACTTCAAGCCAAGAAAGATCGGAAGACACACTAGACTCTAAACTCCAAACACTAAAAACTGAAATCACCAGACTCATGGACCCCAGAGGCTTGAGGTTCGTTTGGGTGACCGTAAACCCCACACTCTTCACTCCTGGCTGCCGGCACCGTGTTCTTGTCCTTCTTCCTGCCCAGGGAAGCTTGAGGGTTCGAATTCCATCCCAGGGCTTTGGGCCGAATCCGTTCCGGGTTTAGGGTTTAGGGCGGACAAAATCCGGAATCCCTGAAGCCCTAGAGCCCCAGAGTCTAAACGGGTTTACGAGTTCCGAGAATTGACTTCTGAACCTTATGGAGAAACAGAAACATACTACAGTAAAGCACTCCAACTTGCAAGTGATACAATACATTCCTGAATTGAAACACAGAGCTTCGTGGCTCAGAGCTTCCCTCAGTTCCCTCTTCCACACCCTAAACCTTATAAACCCTAAAAACCCTAGAACCCCTCAAACCCTAAACCCCGAAAAACCCTAAACCCTAAACTCAGAAATGTAGGGCTCCCTCGGTGCCAAGCTCCTCTGCTGCGGGGGTCTCGGCTGCTTCGGGAGTCGATTTACAGATAGGCAACTCGGCGCATTGAAACCCTGTAGATTGTCAGCTCCTCACAGCAAACCCTGGTCCCTTATCCCTATATACATACCCGTAGACGCACCGTCTCAAAACACAAATCCCCAAATATCCCAAACAAGTCCCATCTCCAGAGCTTGCATTCCTCAACCCCTGTGCACACCCTGTCGCTATATGGACTGTTAAACACACGCCGTACCGACAGTACTAGAAGCAGCTGCGACAGCCACAAAACGCCTGAACCCTAAATCACGCCCCGGGAACTCTGCGACAAGATAGGACGAAATCTCCAGGCGCTGGCAATGAGCGACGAAACTATATCCCCGCCCGAATGCCTCTAGTCAGCATAGGTAATTAATTCCCCGAAAAGGAAAATGGGCGGAGAGGCGGTACCCCATGTCAACGTAATGACGGCCTTCCGCAGCTGTGCTGGGCGAGGCTTGCGCTGTTTGGCAACCTTCACCGATAGAACGATCACCTCAGCGCCGGGAACCAAGAAGGACAGATAGAGCTTCATGGATTGCAGATCCAAACTCTACAATCATCAGGAACCCAAATCAAGACGGCAATACTTGTAGAGTCGAGAACACAAGTGTCCCAGCTTCAAATAACCCTAAGGGTCCATGTACCCAAAGAGTATATACTATGGCCTTAAAGTAGTCCCTATTTAAGTACTTTGGGGCCAAAGTATATACTATTTGGGCACATGGACCCTTAGGGTAAGGGTCCTAGTTCCCTGAACCTTTCTCCGAGACCACTGCCTTGCAGGGTCACAAAGCCCATTAAGTTAAGCCCTGGCACACGGATGTAGATTAAGGAATCTCATAAGTGTTTGTGTTTTCGATTGTCGGTATGTAGCTATGCAGATGTCGATCTATTTGTACATGCCTATACATACATGCATATGCCCACATCATACAGGTTTAGGTGCGCATACACTTAATAGAGTTGAAACGGAAACGGTATGTATATGCCAAGAAGCATGAAGACTCCGAACCCGGAATACTGGACCCCTTCTCACAACAGACGGCACGCCTAATCGCCATGACCATGGTATCGGTTCAAAGTCAAAAAGCCTGTAGGGGGTAAGACAGTGACAGGCCGAATCCGATGAGGGCACTTGGTCGTACCATTGACAGACGGAGCCGACCAAAAAGATACGTATACTTGGAGGCCCACGGGACTTAGTAAGTCGGTTATAAGTAGGGTTATAATTAGGGTAACTCCATTTAGGGTACTTATAACTTATAGCTCTACTTATAACCCACTTACTAAGTCCCCTGGGCCTCCAAGTACCAGCGCAAGTTGAGAAATGAGCCTCCAATTCCAGAAGCTTGAGGCTCTAACGACTACATACTCGCAGGGTCCCTTATGATTAGGCTACCTCAAGGTCCTTACACCCTAAACCCTAAACCCTAAACCCTAAAACCTAAACCGAAACCCTAAACCCTAAACCCTAAACCCTAAACCGAAACCCTAAACCCTGAACCCTAAACCCTAACCCTACCCCCACGGCTTTCCTTGTGCTAGTCTTGCTGGCTCGGTGACTCTAGTTCATCAGGAGTGAGGCTTGCTGATGCTGAAACTTCTCAGGGCAACGTCCCCAAAACTAGCTTGAAGGTGCTGGCCTAACACCCGCAAACCTCCCCCCAAAAAAAATGTAGGGCGGGCAGGTCACATCTGTGGAAGCCATGGCAACGTCTCTTGCAACAGTGGAATCTTGAGCCGCTCTCTGCAACTGGCGAGATGCAGCTGTCTTTACATCATAGTAGGGTGTTAGGGCTTTAGGGTTTTAGGGTTTAGGGTTTTAGGGTTTAGGGTTTGGGGTTTAGGGTTTAAGGTTTAGGGTGCGCAAAGATGCGAGGTCGGGCTCAAGGTAACCCCACGTGGGACATTCTGAGAAGTGAAAATAGACCCTACCTGTAGACCCCATTTTAGTTCCTTTTGGGTTTGTAAAGTTTACAGATGCGAAATGTAGAACTAGTCAATTAAACTCAAAGAAGGAACTACAATGGAGACTGTAGGCAACCCTTCCGGCTGTACAGAGCACCGTTCAACGAGAACCGTAGGCTTGCCTCGTAGGCGTAGAATGTAGATTGTACTTGCAGGATCAAGCGAGCTGGTAAATGGTTGTAGTCAAAGAGGATCCTGTGTCCCCTGATTCTGATGACTGTCGATAACACAGAATTCATCTCCTGAATCCTGAACCTAAGCTGCTTGTCGCATGTCCAGGGCTCGATCAGAGAGCTGAATTGTGCAATCTCCAGGCCCAGCTTGCCATTCGAACCATTTCCTACCCTGCACCCTAAACCCTAAACCCCGAACCCTAAACCGCTAAACCAACCCTGAACTGACAACCTCGCCACATGTAGAACAAAACCCAAATGCAGCAAGCCTGAAACTTGAGGGCTTCACCCCGCCCGCCCTGCGATCCGACACTCTACCTGTTGTATTTTCGGCACTGCACAAGCGCCTGAAAACGTCGTGCCCTCAAACAAACCCTATACCCAATTAAGCGCTAAACCCTAAAACCTAAACCCTAAACCTGAAACTGAAACCCAAAAACCTAAACCCTAAACTGGCCCTAAACCCTAAACCCTAAACCCACACCCTCTTTCGAAGGAACCCTGCAGGTGTCGGGTTCGAAAGGGCGCATTACGATCGAGAAACCCGCCGAAATCCTAAACCTGACAAACCTTACAAACCCAGTCTAAAGCCACTACAACTCCGTAGAAAACCTTATACAGCCCCTACTGTTACAGAGCGCGTCATCGAATCCTAAACAGGACAGAAAACTCTTGGGACACTTACAAATCCCAAACCGAAAACCCTATAACCCCAACCCCTCAAACCTCTAACCCCAAAGGGTTTAGGGTGCATCAGGAGGTATCAGATTAGATAGAGGGGCGAAACTTCGAAGTCATCAGAGACATGATAGCGCGAACTTATGAATCCTGGCAACGTTCTTGTGCTGCCTGGCACTGACTTGCACACGAACGCGTGCTCAGAACGTCGGAAAACAAAAGTGGGGACAGGCTGTGGAGGGGAGCTTGCCGGCCGGAGGGAGTGGTGCCACTTCGTAATTGGTTTATTTCTCATGTCTTTGTATAATAAGTAGACCCTCAAAGCACTATATACTCAAATAGTTAAAGCCCCTGTAGTAGGCCCTTGGGATCAGATTCCGTGTCGTGTTCGCAACCTCAGCTCGCATCCGATGCGATGCGGGCACACCATATGCAGAGGCCTGGATAGTTCAAGTAAAAGTAATTACGGGGTTTGGGGTATAGTATACTACCTTATAGATAAGTGAAACAGGAAGGATTGGCATGTCCTAGTTATAAGTTATATGTTAATGTTACCCTGCAGCCCAGAAAACTCTACAACAACCTCTTAACCCGGAGCCCCAGGCCTCAAGCTGCAGCTCCCTACCTGCTAGAACGCGCAAGCACCCACAAGACTATAGTCCCCAGTCTTCCTTACCCTTACAGACCACACCCGTGCATCATGGTGAGACGGGGCCATTGGCAAAGAAACATATGTCAGTCACGGCATTGAGCTACTGCGATGCATCATGCAGCCAGCTTGCTTGTCTCCTATACATACTTACCTGGAGAGAAGCTGCAACCCCGAACCTCAAGCCTAACTCCTGATGTCAAGGACGGTCTGCTTTTCCACGTAGCAAATGCACGAAAAGAACGTGTGAAGATGACATACCTATGATTGCACGACTCTGGAATTCAGCTAGAGATGTGATGGGATCCAAGCTTGCCTGATTGTTTGTGGAACTGGACTACGTTGCGGACAGTTGCAGGGCGAGTACTAACACTGCACGGGCGGATATAAAGCTGCGCAAGGGCGGATCCCACGCTGAGACGGCGATGCCACCGTAAATACTGCAGTCTTTGCAGTTAGAGACCGGCACTACGAAGGACTCGCTCTTAGCGGTCTTAGCGCTTTCGCTTCTGGGACTGCTCAGCCCGCTCCCTCTCCTTCTCCTGCTGCTGGCGCCAGGCCACCGCCTGCTTCCAGGACTTCTCCACCTCCTTCGCCGAGAAGTCCTTCGGGCGGAACCTCATGTTCCTGTTGCTTCCCGAGACGTTGCATTGGGCATGCCAGGCCTGCTCGCCGCGGTTCCACTTGATCCCTGGCTGCGGCCCCAGCGGCTCGAAGTGAGGGATCTCGGAGAGCGGCTTCACAGGCACCACGCCGCCCTCGGACTCCACCCCGAGCTCCCGGGCCAGCTCCCGGGCCCGGGCCTCGGCCTCCTCCTTCACCTTGAACATGCCACCGTGCACCAGTTTCTTGGTCGAGGGGTCTGTCATCTGCACTCGGTAGGTTCCGTTATTCTTGTCATACTTAATTCCCCTCACCATGGAGCCGGAGGCCTTCCCCGTGATGGGCTTCGGCGGCTTCAGCTTCCCCTGGCGCACGAGCTCCTCGCGGAAAGCCTTGGCCTCCTCCAGGGAGGCCTCCACGGCCTCGGCCTCGCTGAGGCCCAGCTTCATGTGCTTGGAGATGGGGAACTGACACAACCGCCGCTTACCCCCTTCTTGCCAGGAGACTCGCCAAAGAGCCATCAGCCTGTTCCAACAAATTCCCTGGATGCCGCTCTGGCGCTCCAGGCCGCGGAACTTCTTCGTGACGACCTGGCTTTGCTCGGCTCTGGGCTCGGCTCTGCTGGATGGCTCCGAAGACTTCGGCTCGCCAGGTTCCGGGACGGAGCCCACGGACTCGAAGATCTCGAGGCCCTGCATGGCGGAGCCCCCTCCGGTCGGCGAGAGCTTCATCATGCCGTCTTCCATGAGCAGCCAGCCGTTGCCGGCCCAAGCTCGCGTTGGAAGATCCCGCATCCAAGGCCACATCTTCATGCACTCAGCTGCTCGGTGCTCATTGCCGGTGGAGCTCCTGTGAGCCTGCAGCCTAGATGCAACAGTGGTCTCTGTCTGTCGCCCGCTGCTTGCGTCGCTGCTGTCATGGAAAAGGGCATGGTGTGGATTCTCGCGGTAGAAGTCGCGCAACTCTCTGAACTGATCTTTGCCGAGGAGCTGCACGCATGCTGTTGTCTTGTCTCTTGCACATCCTTGCCACGGAGCACCTGCTAATCCGAGAAATGGGCTAGCCGGACAGCAGGGCTTCGTAGGGAGCCACGTCTTGCCAGAGGATTGAAATGCGAGGCATTTCTCGGCCCACTCTGTCATTCGCGACTCGAAGGATGGAACTGAAGTTTCCGATTTCTTCTGGCTGATGCGACGCCTCTTGGCTTCTTGGATCGGACCAGCCTGCTCAGCATGCTCCTCCTTAACACACACCTGCTCTTCTTCATCCACCAGCTCGCGCTTCATGCCTGTCCTCGATTTGGCAGGCAGTGTCATGTACATCATGGGAGCATGTCAAGTGTTTTTGCATTCCGGACGATACGAAACGGACCTTCAAAACATGCAACATTGTAACATTGCTGTAATCTGCCACAACATTGTCAAAGGAACTCAGTACTCGCAAACCAGGTCGAACAAACCGACAGCATCGATCATAACAGTTGACCGGGGGATCTACTTCCCTACTGAATGGTCACATGATACAAGTCTTCTCCAAACCCCTATGCACCGGCTATGGATCGACTAGCTATTGTTGCAGCAATTTGATCACCATGGAAGCCCGAACTTTCAGGAAAATCAGGGGGGGTACAGTTTTGGCCTCAGTTATACGTTAAGTTTGGGCGCAAAGTTTGCAGGTGTCGAGACAGGGGAGAGGGCGGGGTTCACATCATGCGGGAGAAGCTGAAATAGGTGCATGCTCTTGACACTTGACCTCACGAGCCTATGTATAGAAGCTGCCAGCTGCGCGACTGAAGCCACAAGCCAACGAAGCTCACAATGCGAAACCCGCTTGCCCTTAACTGTCACGAACCCTAGAACCGCATACCCCTAAACCACGTAACCCCATACCCGAAACTACAGGACCCTCTAGCCCCTCATGAAACCGCATCGCAGAGGTTTCACTTTCTGTCAGCTGCCGAGGCACACCCGGCATTGCCAGTCGTGGTCCTCCACAGGTGACGCAGACAAGCCAAAGAAGGGATGCAGCTGTGCATGCGGGTGTTTCGGGAGTTCGGCCGTTGCTTCAATCCAGATGCCCTTCTGTTCGCGGTGTGCCATCTTCGGAGCCCGAGACCATTAACTGATAAGACACCAACTAGGTTAAGGGCTCTAGGGGTTGGGGTAAAACTACGCACGTAAATCCTTACCTAGACCCTGAGTTGCAGTACTTGGTCTTTTGTGTGACCTGCTTGATTCGCGAAGATACTATTATTGTTAGTAACCAAGGTGACCGAAAAGATACTATGCTGTTTAGGGCTCGAGGTAGATCCTGATATGTCCCGACGCCTGCGGTGACAAACCATAACAGGAATACCAGCACTTAGTCGCAACCAGGTCATTACTGTGGACTTGGCAGCAAGAAGGTTGCGCATTCCACAAACAGATTAACAACGGCTGAGAACAGCAATAAGCATGATCGGATTTCTGAAATGCCACAAGTGAGTCCGCAGTGCCCAAACGGCCCAAGGTGAGGATAATGCAAAAGAAGTATGTGATTCAATAACCATGAGTTTTGGTAGCTGATTAGCGTAGAGATGGAACAGCCCTTTTCAGGGACATTGTTAGTACACAGATACTGCAACGTCTTCATGACGGGCTGCCAGCGCTGCCCAAAAGTGTGTTGCGACCAGCCAAACTGCATCCGAAGTCCAATGCTCTTCCAGCGCAAAATGCCCTGGACGCAAAGACGTCCAAACCCCGAGTAAAGCTCCTCTTGCTTCACCTCATGCTTGATCTCAGCCTTGACCTTCCAAGCAAGACGGTGTATGCGACGTTAACGATATCTGCCGCGGTTCTACAACGCCAAACACCGGAACTGATGTCACAAAGGATGATAGGCGACTCCCGCATCCCTGGCGTTTAATCTTTTGAGCCGTGTTCGCAACAGCAAGCACTAAGATAACACCAGGGCCTCAAACGAGCGCTGCATCCCGATTGCTACTGTGCCATGTGGTTCCGAAGCCATATTTGCTAGCCGACTTCGGCAACCTCGTCAGCCTTTGTCATAGTCAGTGAATCCCCACCGTAGTGTCCCATGCCGAACGCTTACTGGCCTGCAAAACATGACCAGTCGGCTGCTCGCAGGTTCCATTCGGAAATCGGAAACGAAAGCCATCCACCACCGGTGAATTCCTAAACCCTAAACCGTCGATGCGTGGATGCAGGGTCTGAAAGTCTCACCGGCAGTCCACGCCACGGTCTGTGCGCACATTCAGATACTGGACTTGATATCATCTACTCTATAGTTGCCTGTTCCGAAGGTCCTACGTGGAGGTTAACTATGAGGTACAACCAGAATCTAAATAGAGTAAGAAAAATATATACATACATATATATATATATATATGCACACATACAGATCGTATATAAAGCGCGCCACAGATAGAGAGAGAGAGAGAGAGATACAAAAATAAGGTACATGTTGCAGCGGTGCTTGATGCAGTACTTGTGTGATCCCCATGATCTTTTGAGTCGTTTTAACCAGGCCGCTGACATGATGCAGAGGTTTTTCGTTTTCCAACCGTTAGCAACCGATCAATCCTTACGCCTTGCAGACGGCTCTGCTGCAACTTCCCGTGACTGCCTTCGTGCGCAGCCTTCGACGACACCGGACGACCTGCAGCGCTGGGGTTCCGGGGCTTCGTGTGTTTCCTCTGTAGGGGGGGAGGGGGGGGAAATATGGACGAAAGAGACAAGTGTGCAGAAGCCCGTCAGCTACACAGTGTGCTTGTTCGCTGTTCGGTGTACACTGCTCCCAAAGGACCTGCACCTCTCCCCCCAAGCCTGCAATCCTACCAGGACGAAACAGCGTTGTGGAGGACTGCAGGTGAGGAGGCCGAAACATAGGAAGACGTATGATTTGTGTTTGGCATTTTCCGGTGTGACTAGAGCTCTACGCGCAACTTCCGTGCCTGCCATACCTGCAGGGAATGATTCTAAGCAACCTGACTTTCATGGTTGCTGCAAATGCTCTGTGTGCATCCGCCGCCTCATCTCCGATCTGAGGCTTCATTTCGGGGCGAACCTCCTCCTTCACCTCCTGCTTCATGTCCTTCAAGCGCGTGTCTTGCGAATATTATCTGCTGGGCAAACCACTGCATAACCCACACGCTTCTCATGAACGTGCTGTCGTAATCTGCCCGCCAAGCTCATGGACATCTCTCGTACATTACCCTCCCTCAGCCTCGCAATACGTTGGACCGTGGTTGGGAGTTTCGGGTTCTGGGTGTAGGTTTAAGTTTGCTACCCGGAAAGTCCTGTGTATAGTATCGTAGTTCCTTGTCCTGTCTCTCCCTTTGTCTGCTTGCCTCGGGATGATACGGTACCGTCATTATTGGAGCTGCTGTCTTCATCATGGACATGTATACATGACGACGCATCTGCAACAGCAGATGCTACTGTATGTAGAACATGTGTGCTACTGCCCCGCAACGAAATTCATCGACACTGTCATCGGGTGATATACTGCGTTACAGATAGCATGTCCTCTCGGATGGGGCGGTGCTATGCCATGCTGGATACATCTAGATACCACGCTCGACAGCGCGATATGACTTAGAAGTATTGGCAAGCGTCTAATCGAGGGGCCTCAATAATCAGAACAGAGTTTGCGGGGGTTTACTACACTTTATGTACAATAAGGAACCCTCAAAATAATATAGGTAAGTATTGAGGCCCCTATATTATTGACAAGCGTCTAGGCTCGAAGCCGCACGGAATGCTTCTCGGCCAATCGAGGTATAAGGCCCAGAAACCCCGAAGCTGGAATCTGAACCGCAACACACATGAACAATGCAAGGCCGGGCCAAAGGGCTTAGGGCTTATAATAGGGTTTAGGGCTTAGGGTCTATAGGGTTTAGGGTTTAGGGCTGAGCATGTCGTTCAACTGTTATAGGTACGGCAATGTTTCAGGGACTCTGCCGACACGCAAAAGCAACCGTGGAAGAACAGTGACATGTACCGCTGAAGCAAGGGAGCCGTAGACACAGACCTTGGCATGTTTGGTAGAATCTAGGATGCTTTGATTTTACGTGGTAGTGCTCAAGTCCCGGAAGCGTCCACCCTTCACCGCAGCCTTCTGCGGCATCTCCTCTTTGACTTCTTTTGACATGTTCTTTGACGCCTCCTTTTTGATCTCTGTCTTCACGTCCATGTGTGAATCCTTCGAAACCTCCTCTTTTACCTCCTTCTTCATGTCCTGGATGGGCTTCGCTGGTGAATGCTTGTTCAAGCCGTAATGCTGTAACTGTTGAATTCTGGCAGGGGGGGAATCATCCGCACCATTCGTTGGTTCCCCTCGAGACCCCCCTGATCGTCTGTCCACCAAGCTCATGAATGTCGGCCTTGCGCTACTTCCTTGAAAAACATTGAGAAAAATACAAAACCCGTCGGCATCAAGAACTCACGTTTGAGGCTGCTGGTCTGAGCCCAATACGGGGGACCCGATTGAAAGCCCGACCGATCGACTGCGAACATGAATTTAACTTCAACTCGAGGCCTCACGGTGCGGTTCCCAGCCAAGCCCTGAGCTAGTAAACCCTCTTCGGGTTAAAAAAGTTTAGGGTTACAGGGACTTAGGTTTAGGGTTTAGGGCTTTTGGGGTTCAAGGTGCAGGATTTAAGGTCTTTCACTCCCGCCACTCGGCAGTCGCTGAAAACCAGATCGCACTTGCTGCACATTGTAGAAACTAACAGATGTTTTGGATGCCGTATGCTAGCGCTCGAGTCGCAGAAGCGGACACGAGGACCATTGAACAAGGGTACACCGCATCCCGTTGTCTAGTTCTGCCCGCCCACAACCGAAGCCTTCTGAGCGATCTCCTCTTTGACTTGCTCCCTCGTGTGCTGGGCCGCCTCCTCCTCTTTTACTTCTTCTTTCACGGCCTCCAGGCACGATTGCTGCTCAAAGTTTCCAAATGGGCGAACTTCCAAATTTTTGGTCGTTTTCGAAAACCTCAACCACAAAAGTCGTGAACGCCGACATAAACCTTGGGACCGTAATCTTGGAGATCTAACTGACCATGAGAACGGTCCTGCTGTAGACCCTAAGCTTTGGTTAGCTGAATCTGGAGTAGAACTGCTGTCCTCAGCATTGGACCGAGCCTGCAATGCTTCCCCGGTACAATGCCTAGAAACCAGAGTTGCATTCAGTTTGGCTTCAAACTGCTTCTTTCTGTGCATGGCGAGAATGAGAAAGAGAGAGTTTTCGAACGGAGTTCGCCGGGCAGGAAGCCTTCAGCCCTAAACCCTCAACCCGAAATCCTAGAAGCAGACGTCAAGCCATGGTGCTCACAAGCCGATGAAGCCTAGATCTGACGGATATTCTGTATATGTCACGGGGAACCTTATTGGGGGGTAATGGAGAGGGGGAGGGGACTATATTTCATTCAATAGGCCATCTTAGACCCTTATCATGTCCTTATTAGGGGTATCAAGCCCCCTGATTAAACCCTAACCCTAAACCCTAAACCCTAAACGGTCCTTATTAGGGGTATTTCTCCCTCCTACCCCTCTGACGGTCCCTTTCGATATAGGACAACTCCCGAACACCTTCAAGGGATGGTCCACCTCCCAGTTTAAGCTCCTCACCCCTGAACCTAAACCGTAATCCTATAACCCCTACACCCTACCTATAGTCTCCATTGTAGTTCCTTTTTGGGGTTACCTTTTAGGATCCTTCATATAAAATGGGTTAAACCAAACAAAGGAACTACAATGGAGACTCTAGGCAACCCACAAATACCAAGCGATGCCTGCGTCTCCTTGAGTTCCAGTTTGGTGTCGCTCGCCTTGCCGCGCTCCTGCCAGGACCAGGGGCCAAAAGGGTTGAGGTTTTAGGGTTTAGGGGCCCTAAATCCTGGACCCTAAGCTCATGAACCCTCAACCCAAAAATCAAACACTGCTAGCAACATTGAAGTTTCGGGGTTTCAAGGCTTTGGTGGATGAAGTAGACCTCTGATTTGACACGCACCCTCTCTCTTAGCTTTGTTTATTAATATAGTAGGGCTCGGCCTCCAGAGAAAGGAAATTGGATAAATAGGGGTCTACACTGGAAAGTCTTCGTCCAGGTTTTAAGGGCTTAGAGGTTCGGGCTTGACTTCTCCGATAATTCCAACGTTCAAACTACGGATGTAAAGAGAGCTGGGGTTCGGAATGGCAGAATTGAGGTTGAGTTGGAGGACAATGGAGAAGACTACCCCGAAGCCATCTCCGAATGCATTGAAGGCCCTCACCTGGGCGTTCGTCATGAGCTTCTGCGGCTACACGACATTACTGTCCTTCATGACATACAGTGCTTTAGGTTCCCTAATCCGTAAACCCCAAACCCTAAAACCCTCGGCTGATTATTGGAGGGTCGGGGTCACAGGTTCGAAATCGGGCTTAGCTAAGAAGCGCGAAGCCCTAAACCCTAAAGCCCTAAACCATAAAGCCCCAAGCCCTAAAACCCTAACACGCTAAAACCCTAAACCCCTAAACCCTAAACCATTAAGCCCCCAAAGATCCCTTAAACAAACCTATAAACCCTAAACCCTAGAGTAGAGATCCCTTTAAAGGAACCCTAAACCCTAAACCAATCAGGGGCCTGCCTGGGCTTCTTCCTTCATTTCAGACTTCACCTCCAAAGCAGTGACTGTCTCAGGAAGGGGTTCAGGGTTTAGGGGTTTAGGGGTTTAGGGATGTAGGGTTTAGGGTTTAGGGTTGTGGACAGTGCAGGGTTTTGGCTTTGGGGTTTAGGGTAGCTCTGGATACACCATGCTGCGAGTATGCGGTTCTAGAAGCGTGCGATGTGGTTACTACAGTTTCGGAAACTATGCACTGAAAATATTGAAAGCACAGGATTGCAGGACAAATTGTAGAAGGTACCACAAGTTCACGACTATTCTTGATGAATGGGGGGATATATGCTGGGGCTCATGCAAGGAATCACAACTGCTGCAGCCAGGTGGTATGACATCTTGCAGACCCAGGCAACCCTGAACTCGAAGGTACCCCGAGACATCCCGAAACGACCAGCACCGAGACTCCCAGAAATAAAAACCTAAACGGTAGGACCCCGCAGCAAAGCTTAACCACCCCAAACCTACAAACGCCAAAACTACCTGTCCATCGGCCTGGAGTTCGTCTTTGGTTCCGTCCTTCGGCCGTGCCTCGTTCGGGAGCCGGGGTGTGTAGAATTTGAGCTGCGGAAAAACGGCTTAGGATTTGGGACTTTGGAGTCTAATGGCTTTGGGGTTTCAGTGTCATCGTTACATGCAAACTCTTGTTCTAGGATTTCGGGATAAAGGCCTGCAGGGTTTCAGAAAAGATCCATCCTAAAGAGCTGGAAAAGACTGGGGACGGCAAGTCGCAGTTGCACATGCTCGTGCTGACACACACACACACACACCCACCCCCTAAACCCTAAGCCCTAAACCCTAAACTCTAAACCCTAAACCCTAAACACACACACACAGACAGATGACATGACTGCTTCGGACTTACAGGCTCTTCTTGGAGCGACCTACCAAACAGAATGTTGTTACTTGTCCTTTCTGAAACGCGTGCTCTACTCAGCTGGTGTAAGACAGCAACGAAAATTTAAGTAAGAAGGATGACGGACGGCAAAGCTCAACAGCTCAGCATATCCTCTTCCCCCAAACACAAACCGTTCACAAACTACCTGTGCATATTGCAGTGGTAACAAGACGTTCGTCCCCCTACGCCTCGATGTCCTGCGCAGCTTCTTGCTTCACTTTCTGAAGTTTGGCTGGCTCCTCAGGGTCAAAGGAATAGCAATGGCTCATATGGCTGCTTGTCAAATCAAGCCAAGAAAGATCGGAAAACACACTAGACTCTAAACTCCAAACACTAAAAACTGAAATCACAGACTCATGGACCCCAGAGGCTTGAGGTTCGTTTGGGTGACCGTAAACCCCACACTCTTCACTCCTGGCTGCCGGCACCGCGTTCTGTTCCTTCTTCCTGCCCAGGGAAGCTTAACCCAAAGGGTCCCAGGTACTGTTATGGGGGATACTTTCCCAAATCATACTAACAATTCCTAGTATAGAAACCCTACATTCTACTATATAGGTACTTTGGACCCTTTGGGTAAGGGTTCAAATTCCATCCAGTGCTTTGGGCCGAATCCGGCCATAAACCGGAATCCCTGAAGCCCTAAAGCCCCAGAGTCTAAACAGGTTTACGAGTTCCGAGAATTGACTTCTGAACCTTAGTCAACCTGAAGCCTTGGAGAATCAGAAACATACTACACTAAAGCACTCCAACTTGCAAGTGATACAATACATTCCTGAATTGAAACACAGAGCTTCATGGCTCAGACCTTCCCTCAGTTCCCTCAACCCTAAACCCTAAAAACCCTAGAACCCCTAGAACCCCTAAAACCCTAAACCCCGAAAAACCCTAAACTCAGAAATGTAGGGCTCCCTCGGTGCCAAGCTCCTCTGCAGCGGGGGTCTCTGCTGCTTCGGGAGTATTACAAATAGGAAACTCGGCGCATTGAAGCCCTATAGACCTTCAGCTCCTCACAGCAAACCCCGGTCGCTTATCCATATACATCCCCGTAGACGCACCGCCTCAAAACACAAATCCCCAATTATCTCAAACAAGTCCCATCTCCAGAGCTCACATGCCTCAATCCCTGTGCACACCCTGTCGCTGTATGGACCGTTAAACACACGCGTACCGACAGTACATGAAGCAACGGCGACAGCCACAAAACGCCTGAACCCTAAATCACGCCCCGGGGACTCTGCAACAAGATAGGACGAAGTCTCCAGGCGCTGGTAATGAGCGACGAAACTATATCCCCGCCCGAATGCCTATAGTCAGCATAGGCAATTAATTCTCTGCAAAATAAACTGGGCGGGAGAGGCGGTACCCCATGTCAACGTAGTGAGGGCCTTCCGCAGCTGTGGTGGGCGAGGCTTGCGCTGTTTGGCAACCTTCACCGATAGAACGATCACCTCAGCGCCGGGAACCAAGAAGGACAGATAGAGCTTCACGGACTGCAGATCCAAACTCTACAATCACCAGGAACCCAAATCAAGACTTGAACAGTCTGGTGGTTGCTGTATCGGGTTAGGGAGTGCTTGTAGAGTCGAGAAGACAAGTGCCCCAGCTTCAGATAAGGGTCCTAACTCCCTGAACCTTACGCCGAGAGCACTCTCTTGCAGGGTCACAAAGCCCATTAAGTTATGCCCTATCATACGGATGTGGACTAAGGAATTTCATTAGCGCTTGCGTTTTCGATTGTCGGTATGTAGCTATGCAGATGTCGATCTATTTGCACATGCCTATATATATATACATACATGCATATGCACACATCATACAGGTTTAGGTGCGCATACACTTAATAGAGTTGAAACGGAAACAGTATGTATATACCAAGAAGCATGAAGACTCCGCACCCAGAATACTGGACCCCTTCTCACAACAATCGCCACGAGCCCTGCGCTGCGGAACCATGGTATCGGTTCAAAGTCGAAAAGCCTGTAGAGGGTAAGACCGTGACAGGCCCGAGCCCGATGAGGGCACCTGGTCGTACCATTGACAGACGGAGCCGACCAAAAAGATACGTAGCCCAACGCAAGTTGAGGAATGAGCCTCGAATTCCAGAAGCTTGAGGCTCCAACGGCTACTTATGATTAGACTACCTCAAGGTCCTTAAACCTTTAAGGCCGTAACCCTACCCGGGCCCTACCCCCCAGGCTTTAGTCTTGCTGGCTCGGTAACTCCTAGCTCAATCAGGAGTGAGGCTTGCTGAGCTGAAACTTCTCAGGGCAACGTCCCCCAAGCTACCTTGAAGGCGCTGGCCTAACACCCTCAAACCCCCCAAAATGTAGGGCAGGCAGGTCACATCTGCAGAAGCCATGGCAACGTCTCTTGCAACAGTGGTATCTTGAGCCGCTCTGTGCAACTGCCGAGATGCAGTATTCAGGGTCTCCGTCCAAGATTGCTCTTGCAAGATGCGTAGAGCTACTCGCTTTCACGGCGTGTAGAACATTCTAAACCTTGAAAATCCTTAATATACATTGGTCAAAGCCAAAAAAGGAACTACAAATGGAAACCGCAGGAACACCTTTCGACTGTCTCCTTTGCTGTACAGAGCCACGTTCCGAAAGACCCGCCATCTCCCGGTTTGCCTCGTAGGAAGTAAGATTTACCTGAAGGATGGTAACTAGGTTATAGTCAAATACCTGCGTCCCATGATGGTTGCACGGAACTCTTCCCTAAATCCTGAGCCTAAGCTGTTTGTTGGCATGTGCAAGACCTTGCCATAGAAGCCAAGTCTTCACACCCCAAAAACCAGATGCAGCAATGCAGAAAGCCTGAATCCATTCACCCCGCCCCCTTCCCGGGCCGTCCGATATGTTGCCTGTTGTATCTTCAGCATTGCACAAGCCTTTGAACATATCGCACCCTGATACGGGACAGACATGATCTGTCGGTCTGTCAGTGCGAAATCCCCAAAACCTAAACTGTGAGCGCCATGTCGGTCCTGGTGTACCATGTGTGCAGAAGAACGGGGCGGTGTTCCTGGGAAGTGCATTTTCATGTTTTTCTAAAAACCCCAAACCCTAAACCCAACACCCTGCTTTCCAGGTGAAAGTCTCCGGTCTTTTAAGGTTTAGGGCTTCAGTGTTTTGTAGTTTAGATATCTGGTTTAGTGTTGGGGGTCAGGGTTTAGGGTGTCAGTTTAGGGTTTTGAGGTGAGTGTACAGGGTAAACCCTAAACCCTAAACCCTAAACCCTAACATGAGGCCTCAAACCCTCGACATGTCATTCGGCAGCATAGGGGCCTTCATAAGTTCAACATGGTTTGGGGTATAACTTGCATTAGGGGGTCTAAGGAATAGTAACTGTTTGCTATGTATTCAAACTTCAACCCTAAAGCCTCCTTAAACCCTAAACCCTAGGCCCTAAGCCTTAAATCTTGACCCTATACTGTAGATACGTTTCCTGTAGCTCGGCATTTCCGGCCTGGCAGCACTGTCCATATTTAGCAATCGAGACCTTTGCGGTTTGGGGCTTAGGGTTTGGGGTTTAGGGTTCGGGGGCTCCGGATCTAAAGTTTGGGTTTTAGGATTTAGGATTCGGGGTTTGGGTTTAGGGTTTAAGGTCGGGGGCGCTAGGGCAGATCTACTGCAAACCGACTTCCGCACTGAAGCCGAGCAGATCAGTATCTCACACGGAAGCTGGATGGTATCTAATCCGCCGAGCCTCTGAACCTTCAGAGTCCTCCATAATGTCACAATGAACAACATCATAGCTTTATTTGTTTAATGGTCTCTTAACTTTTAGTATCACATAAATACAACTCCGGTTAACGCTACGAGCCTGCTAAACTCATGAACCGGAAGCCCGTCATCCGACGCCCAAAAAAAAGCCTGAACCTCATAGAGTCCGAATTCCCCCCCTAGAAGGCCAACACAAATCTATGCAAATAACACCAAATCAGAGACTGCCTGTATCTGTCTTTATATGTCATCATGCTTATACAACCTCTCCAGGGATCTAAACCCGAGGATTTGAGGCTGCAAGATAATGTGCAATGCCTGTAGTAAACCCTAAACTCTCTCCAACCCTGGACCCGAAATCCCTAAAACCTAGATCCTAAACAAAACATCCTAGTTAACCCTAAATCTTAAATCCTCAACCCTAGACCTGTAGATCCAATCCTGCAGACTTCCAAACAAGCTCCTCGAAGTCTGCATTGAACAGGGGGCGAAGGCAAGTTGATCTTATCATCTCTTACTCTCGGTTGAGGCTTTCGGCTTTTAGGGCTTAGGGTTTACGGTTTAGGATTCAGCACCTGGGGCCCGAAGTCATGTTGGTCTTATTCTTTGTTTAGGCACGCATCTGATTCTTGTGCCTCTACACTTCCCTGTCACGATGGTGCTGCAAGCTTGTGGGCCTGATATTCCCGGTGAGACATCCGACCTCTGCTGCCAGTAAGAAGGATGCTGAATCACTGAACATACGTCTTCAAGCCATAGCCATAGCAGCCATAGTGGCGGTAACATGTAGTAGAGAACACCCTAGACCCTAGACCCCGAAACGCTTCAAGTCCCGTTCCTAAGCACTACATAAGTCCTCAGCCCAAATCCTACCTTGTACAACTCCTACATATGTTTCTGGCTAGACA